AAAAAAAAAAAAAACCTCTCAAGTCTTAACTGTCTTGGTCTCGGTAATCGGCCTAGTACTAAACCAAGTAAACTCACTTAAGAAATACAGTTTCCACTTACCAACTAACTCATCATTAAAATGCATTCATTCTTGAGCTTTCGGTTATAGAATAGAGGAGCTTATAGGAAGTACAATGTTATTATGTATTCTCTGTAACTTTCTTGTTTATACCAGTGGAATACTCAAACACAAGGAAAAAATAAGCACTAAAACTGAACTGAAATCACCGTGTTAAGCTTCATAATTATTCAGTTTATATGGAGTGTGGTACTACAAAATCCTAAGCATTAATAAGAAGGGCTGCTCCGAGTCAATACAGCTTCATAAATGATACATCGATTCCACATTCAAGTTTCGTAAGATAAAAAAGAAGAGAATCATCCAACTTGAATCAAGTACCCAAATAGGATGTCTCCCATCAACACTTGGTAGGTCTTTACATGACAAGGAACCAGCAAACAAGCTCAAGAACATGTAACTAGCAACCAATAACGAGAAACACTGATCAAGCTCAATAATACATAACTATAAATCATGGGAAGGACAAAAATAACACATGAAAGCACAAGAAGTAAAAATAAAGCGAGTTTGGATGGACGGCAAAGGGCGACCTTTGAGGGATTCGAGCTCGAGGGAAGATAGCTGAACGCTGTTGGCGGATTGAAACTGGTTTATGAAAAAGCTCAGCTGCTGAGAGGCGGTCGCCCGTTGAACGGCATCACCATCCGTTCTCCCCCCAACGGTTATTTCATCTTCGGACTTCTTCTCCACACTGTTTTGTGTTTTGCTTTTACGGGATTTTTTGATCTTCTTGCCGATAGTTTCTGTCTTAGGCGGCTGCGGCTTCCGGCGCTTATTAGGGGCGGCGGCCATGGCTGTAGAGTCGAGGTATGGGGTTTCTCCGTTGATTGCTTCTTCTGTTGACGGGCCACTTAACGCCAAGATGCTAATTATAAAAAGGAAAAATATCTACCTAACTACCCGAAAATTTACACTTGGCCTACTAAACTTTTATTTTTTATCCTTTGTCCACTTAACTTTAATTTTTTGTACACTTTGACATTTCTGATCACCGCCGGCCTCATAAACCAATACGTGTCCTTTGTGCCTTATTGCCACTTGTCGCCGACAGTGACTAGAAATGACAAAGTGTACAAAAAATGAAAGTTAGGTAGACAAAGTGTAAAATAAAAAAGTTTTATAGGCAAAGTGTAAATTTTCGGGTAGTTAAGTAGACAAAGTGTATTTATTCCTTCAGTCCCGCTCACCTGCCCACGGTGGGCAGTGCCCACCACTTTTTTTTACATGAAAAACGTATTCTGAGAATACGTTTTTCAATTAATTTAATTGAAAAACGTATTCTCA